AAAAAAAAAAAAAAAAAAAAAAAAAGAGCGACAGATGGTACGTTGTGACTGGTCAGTGGTCTAAAGACCTGGATATGCTTTCTTTGAAGCATATCACAACTTAAATCATCACTTTCAGAAAGAAAGAAATGAACAAAACAAAGAGGAAAGAAAAATCTAAAAGAAAAGGAAAGCCCACAATATGAGAGTCACTGGAAATTAAAAAAAAAAAAATGATGGATGTTCTTGGAATGGTTTTGAAAACAGGACACAGACAAGAGGAAATGAAAGGACAGGAAGAATGAGTAAGATCATTCTGTGAACGTTAGTTCAGCATTCTTACCTCTTATTGGTGTACCACCTGGGTGGATAATATGAATGCAAATAAGATTAGAAAGAAGAAGCGTTAGTTCAAGAAGAAGGAGACTAGGGCTGGGGAGAAGAATTCAATTAGATTTACAGAATTCAATAAGGACTTAAAAAGAAACTTGAATTACTATACTGGTAAAACAGGAATATATTAGGTAGTATTATGAGATCATAAAAGCAAGTTGCATTGTATCATAGAAGGGCAAAGACCTCAACAGGTGGTATCAGAGAAGCAACTGAGTTCTAGATCTGGGGATATACAGGGTTAGAATTGTATTGCATAGGCCTCATGTCCCTTTAAAAAGTAAAAAGCAAAAAAAAAAAAAAAAAGAGAACTATACAATATTCTAAAAATCTTAGTTTAGAGAAATAGTGGCTAAGCTGTTTAAGTATATCTAGAGAGAGAGATTATATATATACGTATGTATGTATATATATAATTATATACTGTAGGAAATCCCAAACACTAACTAGAAGCAGATATTGCTGATGGGTTCCTCTTAGGCCACTTGCTGTGTTACATTTGTGTGATAAAACTTGTGCACTGTTTTATTTTTCTATACAATATTGGTATTTAACAGTCAACAACGCTTTGGAGGTGTGAGTGTGCGCGCCACTAGGGAGGTCTGGTGTCTACACTGACAGTTAGTAAAATGCATGCCATGCATTTTATTAATAATAATAATAATCATCGTCTGAGTATGGAAATTAGTGGGGGGGGGGGAGTGAAGTGCGCTTCAGAACTAAGCACTTACCAATGGATTCTGGAGATTTAAATACGGAGAGAAGAAAGACAGCATAAAAATATTATTATATTCCTTATAATTTGGTACACATTTTTCAGAGTTAAAGCTTTATAAACTAAATCATCTATGTTACAGGTGAAAAATTAATTCTTTATTTACAATAACAGAATGCTAATCTACACAGTTCTGCTGACAACAAGCAAAAGAGGCAATTAACAAGACGTTTTAACATCACGGGGGACAGGTCAAAAGCTGAGAATTCTGGGAAGACAGGCAATTAAACAACTTAGAATTTTATCACAATAAGACTACCAACGTCAAAGTAAACAGATTATTAGTATATGTCCCATGACATTACCTAGGGACAAGCTCTAAAACGTATGAAATTTTGAAGTATCCTTACTTTGAAGCTAAAGAGACCACAGGGATAAACTTGGGGATGGGGGTGGGGGAAGGGGAAAGGGCAGCGAGTGAAGAAAGAGAGGAAGTAGCAAGAGCTGGAGTCTACACCAAAAGCAGACTTCTGTAGATCCAGTCACTGGAAGGGTCAAAACTTCAGTGTAGGCGCACGCTACTGTGGCTAATGTGTAGAAACTACTCACTCACAATCAGCATGAGATTAACCAAAATCCCCTCCTTCCACTGGTACTTTATTAAGGATTCTTTTTAAAAAAGGCATCTGGTTTCATGGAATGGTGCTTCTGTGTTCTATGTATTGGTGAAGAGAAAGCAGCTGTGCCCAAGCTTACTAAACTTTGGTAAAGGGTGTGGCTCAAATGTAGAAACGACAGCAGAAAACACACTTTAATCAAATTGAATCATTTTCATGTTTAATATGAACATTTTGATTTTGAATGGATATAACCATTGGAACTTCTTGCAAGTTCTGAACGAAGTCCAATGTTGAAATAAATTTGTCTCGAAAGGAAACAGAGAAAGAAGAAAGAAAGAGGAGAAAATGGATCCATCAAATACTGCCAAAGAGCAGTAAATTAAAAAAATATCTATCAAAATACAGTCACAGCCGTGAGCAATGTGGATTGAACAGAAGCTGCAACACACAGAGAGAGAAGGAGAGAAACAGATTCTGAAACGGGCTATGACATCACAGAACATCGACAACACATTAAATAACAGAGAAAGAGAAGAGGGAGAAAAATCAATACCTAAAAATTAAAAAAGTAAAGAAAAGAAAAAGAAGGAGAGGAAAAGATTGTTTATAAATTCTCTAGGTGTTAGTGGGAACATTAATAAGATCTTACCTGATCGTAACTGCTTAATACGGCCATTGTTGTTGCTTGTGTCCACGGGTAAGAAATCCTTGAACCAAGTGATTTCTGGATCTGGATTCCCACTGGCTGCACAAAGCATGGTGGCGGTGCGTGTGCGCTCCACCACCTTCAACTGTGGGCCCATGTCAATGGTGGGGAAGCCCCTGGGAATTTGATCCTCTGCAAAACAAAAGGTCAGACAAACATGTTATTGTGGGAGATGCTCAAGAGTCAAAAGATAGTGACCACCGGTTATTCCTTTTCAACATATTGATGTTGTGAGGCTAATACAGACCAGGAAGCACTGCACTATCTGTTGTGACTCATAGTGACACTGTATAGAGTTTCCAAGGAGGGGCTTGGTGGATTTAAACTGCAAAGCTTGTGATCAGCAGTTTAATGCTACGACTGATAATAAAAAAAACAGTAAGAATAAAACTCTTTTCAACAAATGAGGTATCTGACTCATGCCAGAGATGACTTACCAAAAATCCATTGGAACGGAATCGTGTTGTAAGCCAGGGAATGTTTATGTTATGCTGTGTTTTTCATTGGTTAATTTTTAGAAGGTTGCGACCAATACCCTATAGAGGAAGGAAGCCTCCCCCTAGGACTGGCTCTTTAGGACCTGATCCTTGGTAAAGTGGAGAAGGACATCTTACTTGGTAAAGT